GGCTCTAATCCGTTCCTGAGGGTGTGGCATGAATTTGGAGGATGCGTGGGTCTCTGATAGAGTTCAGAGGGACCGTCGGCTCTACAGCCTGAGTGCAGGAGCTACTGCTCCTCAAGTCCACTACCTGCATAGTCGTAGGTGTGACTTCACAGTGTCCTTCGCAGACGTCGACAGTTAAGATCCAGAATGCCCTTCAGTGGAGGAATCATGAGAACACAGGTGGATGAAGTCTTCGTTAGAGGACAATGGCTGTCATAAAACAGGGGCTCCTGGGTGGAGGGCAGGAAGACTCCAAGTCGTGCTTGGTGTGAAGGGTTAGGGTCCCTGGGCTAGAGCATGTTCACGGAATTCTGTCCTGATGCCATTTGTTTTTTATTTTTACCAGGGATTGAACTCGGGGACACTCGGTCCCTGAGCCGCATCTGCAGCCCTATTTTGTATTTTATTTAGAGACGGGGTCCATTAGCACCTTGCTTTTGCCAAGGCTGGCTTTGAACTCGGGATCTTCCTGAGCTGCTGGATCACAGGGGTGCACCACCACACCCGGCCTGACGCTATTTTAAAGATACGATTTTATTGCCAAAATATTATATTTTATGCATCCTATTCTTAGTCATACCCATCCCAAGACACATCAGTTTGTATAATTAAAGAACAATCGAGAGTGACAAATGCCCCCAAATTGGGGCGACTAGTTTACAAATCAGTGCTCTAGATATGCTTTCGGACAGAGTCTCGGGAACAGGCAGCGTGGTCTCTGTGTCAAAGCACCTGTGCTCTGCTCCGCACATCTCCACCTTCTCCTGGGCACCCTCAAGTCCACTACTCGCAGCCGTGCTGAGGCCAAATGCACGGCCAGCCACCGCCCTTGATTAGCTGCCCTCAGGGAAGTAAAGGGGGAAAAAAGATCGCGAAGTGTACGATGAGTGGACACCACACCCAGCAAGACACATCCTGATGCCGTGGCAAACTGACACACCAACCTGCAGGTGCCCTCCATGAGACAGCAAGGACAGCGTCCTGAAGCACTTCTCCTGACAGGCCGTTTCCGTCAGCGCTGGGACACCGCGCAACCTGGGGCGGGCGTGAGGTGCCCGGGTTTAAGGAGAACCAACAGAGTTGAGTTGTCCGAGAATCTGGTCTGCCTTGGGACTCTTTCTGCCTGTCTTTCTTTTTCTCCTTTCTCTCTCTCTCTCTCCCTTCCTGTCTTCTTTGGGTTTTGACTTGGAGGCAGATATCAGCTTTGAGTAAGTTTGGATTGGGCTCAAATGGGGAGGATGTTGGGTGGATGCGAACCTCCGTCTGGACAGCCCCCATCTCCCCGGGCCTAGAGGAAGTGCTTTCAGTAGTTCAGAGTGCCCCGGCCCCGGTGTGCTCAGAGGGTACAGGGAAACTCGCAAACTACGGGAAGGCACCACACGCTTTTCTGTAACCACATTGTTGAAAAAATGTACCTGGTTTCTCTTTTCTTTTTCCCTACTTTTAAACCTAAATCAACCATTTTTCATCAAAATAAGAACTTGATAATCCATCCCATCTCCCTAATCCAAGACCAGTTTCCAGGAGCAAAGAAAGGTGATTTGTTCATCGAAAGCAGAGAGGCCTGAAGTCTCTGACCTTAGGTCTCCCGCAGTCTCCTGCTTGCGCCACGGTCTGTTCCTGTGGGAGGGAGGTCTGGAGGGTCCAGCCCTGTCACCTGAGGCAGCACAAAGGCAGCAGGGGCACAGAGCTGTCGGGTGGCGTCCACACCCTAGAGGTGGGGAACATGTGCTCTGTCGTATGCAGCACTGGGGAGACAACCAGGGGAGGTGGCTGCAGCACTGGGCCGGGAGTGGTGTCCAACAGGACGACAGCAAGGTCCACACTGTGGCTCCCTGTGGGGGAGCAGATGAGCTGTGTGGACACTGGGGGAAAGCCTCCTGGGCAGGAGAGGGGCTCAAGGGCCTGCAGCACAGCCGGAGGAGAAGCCGTGTGAGCAAAAAGGAGGCAGGAGAGGTCAGAGAGGCTCAGCCGGCCGCAGGGGCCCCTTGACCACTGGGAAGAGTCTGCCTCGGCTCTGGGTGACATGGGCAGCCACCGGCCGGTCTCAGCAGAGGAGGGACAGGAAAGGACATTTGAAAGCCTCACCCTGTACTGCTCATGGCTGGGGCAGGAGAGCCCTTGGGGTACCTTAGTGTCTGGCTAGCAGAAAAGGCTTGTTGGCCTTCCAGAGAGGCCAGCAGACACAACCAGACATCAGTCACCACTGGACATGCTCCTAAGAAAGCTCCTGCTGGATAAGACCCGGAAGCCCACAGGACAGCCTCATGCTGAACCAGTGACAAAAGGCCTGTCATTTCGCCTGCCCCGTGCGGCAGGAGGCCCGGAGTCCCTGGTTCCTGAGGCCGTGGTGGACAGGTCTGCATGGAGCCTACAGAGTGTGCAGATAAACTGGGCACAGACTTTGAGGTAAAAGGTGCCTGAAAGGTAACTCCAGGCTTTGTGTTCTGGGAAATGAGACGTGTTCCTTCCCGTGGGGAGGAAGGTTGTGTGGGCAGACCAGGAAACAGGCTTCCTGCAGCTGGAGGGGCGGGGCTCTGAGGTCCCCACAGAGAGGACCAGCCGGCAACTAAAGGGGCTCTGGGGCCGCCCTGGCCACCGGGGCCTGGTGGACGCGGTGGCAGGCGTGTCCCTTGCCCAGGGTAACCTTGCTAGTCTGTTCACTGGCTCGCTCTTGCCGGGCCTTCCCATGTCACAGGCACCACGCATCTCAGGCCTGCTGGTCCTGAAAAGCCGCTCGTCACAAGACTGCTTTGCCCAAGGGTCCTCAGTGTCCCCCCAAGGAGACCCGTCGTGACTTCCTTCCCGTCCTCCTCGGATGCCCCGTGGACCTGCTCCAGGTACATGGGCGCATTGTCACCCGGGGCCTCAGCCTTGCCCCCTCTGCCCTGGTGAGGTGGCCTGCAGTGGCGCCTCCCACGACCCCATCAGAGCCCTGCCCACCCCTCGAGGCCCAGCAGATGCCCGCTCTCGTGCCGGGAAAGCCTCCTCCAGCTCCCAGGGGCTTTGGTGTCCTTACCACTTATTCTCTGGCTTCTCTTTGCATCCCAGCTGTTCATATCTGCCTGTGTATACACACACGTGTGCACACCTGCACACATCTGCGTGGATATATGAAACTCTGTGTTTGTTTAAGAGTGTGTATGTGCACGTGCACGTGTAGATGTGTGTACATTTAACGTGTGTACGTGTATATGTGAACGTGTGTGTGTGTGTGTGTGTGTGCTCACACCCCTGTACACATCACTGGAAGTGGGGTCTCTGCTTGGTTTGGGATGGGCTCCGTGCCGAGCGCTGTGACTGACGTGTCGGTTTGGGCCAGTCTCTTCCCTTTGTCGTGTGACTCAGGGAGGGTTCCTAGGTAAGGTCAAGCTGCTGGTCCTAGTGCTGACCTGTGTGGTCAGGGAGGGCCGCCCCGGGAGGAGGGCTGGGCGGAGGCTGAGCCCCAGGCCCTCGCGTCACCAGTGGCAGAGTGCACTCAGGTGACAGCTGCAGAGCCGTGCAGTAGCTCCTTCTTGTGTCCTTCTTCATGTTTCTGCTGGTCGGTTGTGTCCCTCCAGTCACACAGGAGATGAGGGGTCATCAGAACAGCCTTGGAAGCGGGGACACAGTTCTCTCAGCTGAGACTCCTCCTGAGGCTGAGCAGACTCCTGAGAGCAGGGCACCCGTGTGGGCGGGGTGAGCCGGCGGGTGCCACAGGTGCCTGTCGCTCCTGGCAGGTCTGCGGGAGCCCCCGTGCCCAGCTGAGCTGCAGCTTCTCCAGAGCGTTGCGAGAACCTGCAGGGCTCTAGGGGCCGTTGGCTGCTGCCCCAGCAGACGGTGACGAGGATGCAAAAGTGCGGGTTTGTGCTTCACAGAGGCCACCGCCTAGTGGAGGGCCATAGAGGGACCCTGAGACGCTGGTGCAAGGGACGGTGCCGTGAGAAACCGCCCTGTGAACCCCTGGGTTACTGTGACCGATAGAGAAGAGGAGGGAGGGAACCTAGAGCTTTACAGACGGCTCTGTGCCTTCGTCCTGTGTGCTCTTGTGCGTCCATGTGTGTCTGTGTGTTCCCGTGTGTCTGTGGGTGTGGGTCTGTGTGTGTGTGTGTATGTCTGTGTGTATCTGTGTGTCTGTGTGTCGGGTCTGCATGTGTCTGTATGTCTGTGTGTTGGGTCTATGTGTGTGTGTGGATGTCTGTGTGTATCTGTGTGTCTGTGTGTCGGGTCTGCATGTGTCTGTGTGTCTGTGTGTTGGGTCTATGTGTGTGTGTGGATGTCTGTGTGTTGGGTCTGCATGTGTCTGTGTGTCTGTGTGTTGGGTCTATGTGTGTGTGTGTATGTCTGTGTTTATCTGTGTCTGTGTGTTGGGTCTATGTGTGTGTGTGGATGTCTGTGTGTCGGGTCTGCATGTGTCTGTGTGTTGGGTCTGTGTGTGTGCGTGTCTGTGAGTGTTTTGGAGGAGACTTGCTTTACCACAGCATTCCCCCTCCTGGAGAAAGAACCTCTGTTGGCACAGAGTGGCCTCCAGAGGCCTCTTCCCCTGCCCTGAGGTCAGTGTGTAGGTGGTCAGTGGGCTTTCAGAGCTCTGAGTGGACAGTGAGTCCCACCTGCCCCTGTGGACACTGCTTCAGGCCAGCCCACTGCCTCTCATTCCTGCCCGTCTTGTAAACAGACCCAAGACCAGCAGTGAGCCCCTGAACTGGAGCAAGGCACAGCTGGTCACGAGGCCCCTCATTCAGCAGAGTGCTGAAGGTGGCCCTGCGCAGTGCTGGGACAGATGGCCGGGGGGACAGGGAATAGACATTGCAATGCTGGCCGTGCACTCCCTCGGGTGGGGGAACCCAAGCTGAAGTCCAGGTGGGAGGGCGGCCTGGCAAAGGGCTGGGGGCCGAGCCGCACGTGCCAGGGCCCAGGGAGGATGTGGAGGCCGCAGGAGCACAGGGGAGTGCAGGACAGTGGGGGGGAGGCCAGGCCTGCAGCCCCTCGCCTCCTGGGGAGTTCCTCGTCCTCTGTGAACCTGAAGACCTCACGGCAGCCCGAGGAGCCGTCAGGCGGGGAGCCGGCTGGTGGCTCCTGGGTGCCTTTCAGGGCCCCTTATTCCCTTGTTTGTACACCTGGCCTCTTGTGCCACCGACCAGCAAGCCCCGGAGCCCTGGTCCACTTGTGTAGCACCTCCCACCCCACGTCTTCCTGCGGTACCCGTCTCGAGCTCGCTACAAAGTGGCAGGAGTCCCCTAACTAAAGCAGAACATCAGAGCAAAAAGATGCCATTTCAGGTGCCTGGTGACAGTCCCCCCTGACCTGTGGAAATGACGGCCAGTCTGAGAACCAAGGTCGACCTTTCTGCCAAATGTAGATTCGATCTGCCAACAAGGCCCATTTTTCTTTGAAATGAATTATTTTCTTTTAGTTCTGTAAGAATCAGTGGCACTTGGAGCGTCATGTGTGACTCCTGGGTTCCACAGCTACACTCCCATTGCCAGAAACCATGCCTGCAGGGAAACATGGCGTGGTCGCCCACTGCTCTGGGAGACACACGGAGTCCATGGCGCTTGGACGAGTGAGGAAGGGCTCCCGGGCCCAGGCTTTCTGCAGTGGGAACTTCCTCCTGCAGTGGGAGAAACTGCCAGTAAAGGAAGAAGGACGATTTACATACCGAGGAGGCAAGGCTGCTCTGTGGGCTTAGTCACAGCCTGCCGCTTGAGACATCCTGGGAAATCCCTCTCTGGAAGAGGAGAGTTAAAGTCCGGGTCTGTGCACTTATCAGCCTTATTCCGAGTCATTCACAGGCAGAGTCACCTCCCTTTGTTTTTAATGCAAAACGATCATTGTGATTTTTCTACCATGAGTTAGTGGTGGGGTGGGCTTTGCCAATTCTGCGTTTTGGTCTTACCCTGAACACACCATAAGAGACTCCCCCCCTCTTCTTGCTGCTTCCCAAGACTCCCAGGAAAACAGCTTCCGTAGCACATTCTGCCCAGGGCACAGCTGGAATGAGCACTGTGGACAGTTCCGCGGACCAAGCAGAGGTAAGAACACGCTTCTGGGGATGGCTTGGCCTCGTGGGTGAATGGACACTGAATGAATGGAGGTGCTTTCTTAGTTTTTTAATAAAAGATAACCAAGGTATAATGAGAAACTGCACCACATATTTCATTTAGAAATTTAAGTGGGTAGTGCTGAAATTTTAATATCTAGAAGTTGGCCTGGGTATTATGGTAGAGAAAGAAATGCCCAGACACTGTGAATATAGATCGTGTTCTGTAGAAAATATTATAGGGAATTGCATATGGGGGACATTTTTTCTGAACTAGAACTCAGTCATTAGAAATCTTTGCACTTATTGCAATATCTGATGCCTTTTTAGCAACTGAAAAGCAAAGCAAATCCAAGTGAAATTTCCCCAAAATTTTAGTATTTGGTTGATTTTGCCATATTTTAATATACACTTGAGTCATATAAGCCATGGCAAAATTTAGACTAATCTTCAGAGAAAGCCCTGGAGATACAGCTGTGGCTGACAAGCCCAGGGTCCTCTCCTCCCCCCTCCCCATTTCCCCACTTACAAAGACCACTGCTGAGTCTCAGAAATCAGCGCTCCTCCAGCTCCAGATAGACCCCTTTGAAAATCCAGTATCTGTATCTTATTCATAAAATAAGAATCCAGGTCAGAGTGTTTTATGATTTTATCCAGAAAAAATTATTTACGGAAACAAATCAGCCCACATCTGCACTCCCAGAAGGCAAGAGCCTACAGATGTTTTATGGTCACAGAGTTTTTTCCACCTCACAAGTGAAAGGAGGGCTTTTCGAGGACCCCAGATTGACATTTCCGAGTGTGAGCGGGGATGGCAGGATATTGACTTACTAGGAACCATGATGACTGAGGATGTTGGTTAGGCACAGAGACACCATTTCAGAAGTCTCAACCCAGTGTCCGGGGCACTCTGTGTCAGGGGGACCTGGACTTGCTCCTGTGGTCAGAGTCCCTGTTGCTGCACCACTGGGTGCTCATCTCAGCACACACCAAGTAGGGCTGGCTCTCAGCACATGCCAGATCCAAGATGCTTAGTGGGTCAGTCAGTTCTAATCTCGTTTCTTAAAAGTCTTCTCCCAAAGGAGAAGGTCACTCACTCACAGGAACCAACATGCTTGTCACCTGGATTTCCACGTCCCTCTTGGTGATCAGCCAAACCAGTTTCTTGTGGTTAACAGCAAGTTTACACAGAAGCTCACTGTTAAAATGTGGCCTTAGTCACAACACAGGTCTAAATAGAAAGAAGGAGGTAAAGCAAAGAGCAGCAGCTACACAGGTGTACTCCCTCAAACCTTAAAGTACAAGTCAGAAGTAAGGAAATACAGGGAAATGCAGCTTTATAAATGGTTTCTCATGAAAGAGCCCTCAAAATCCCACGATGATGGCAAAAGAACTGTTTCCTCTGATCTTTCTGGCAAAGATCAACATGTTTTGAAAATATTCTTAACTGTTCATGCAGAGCCTGGAGCAGTTCCGTGGTCCACAGTCCCTGATGGTAAGGGGCTGAACGCAGATCATCATCACCCTCCGGCTTCTATGACCTAAAGGACTCTTTGGTTACAGCACAGAAACCAGTCCTTTATGCAAGTGACAATTTAGCCCAATGACAGGCAGCTGCAGGGACTTCTGTGCTTTCTTTAAATGAATATTCCCATTCTTGACAAACATAGCCAACCCCCCCAAAAAAAACCAAAATATGATTAATGTTTCCATTAAGCCATTAAGCTAATAATTTATTGTCAGTCCAAACTTGTACTCTAAAGACTTTTATTCCAAGAGCTGGTTAGTGTTACACAGTGCCGGACAATCTCTATGCCCCCGACTCTGACGTGCTAAAATCCACAGTCCTGGGGTTTGGGCTTCAGCCGCTGTGCTTCAGGGGCCACTGTGGTCTTCATTCGTGGTGGTCCTATGCCCCCTCTGACTTTTGACAGAGACACTCTTTAGAATTTGCTGGTGATATGTTCATGGGCAGGACTGAAAATGACTCTCGAGAAATGTTTACTATGTAAACGTCTAAAACGTATCCTGAAACTGACCCAATTTCTGTAAGTCATTCTACTCTTATTTTTTTGGAAAGGGATTCAAATTCAAATTTAAGAAGTTCTAACTTCCGGTTTACCCATTATATAGATACATTTATGATTTGTTGGGATATTTTGTTTACCAATTCCTGTGACGGGATCTTTTCATAATGTGAAGCTGTGCCCCGACAAGTCCTTATGAAGGAACCATGGGAGAGGGTTTCTGTTTTTGTCTGTGGTGCTGATGCATTCTGCCACTGAGCTGCCTCTCAGCTCCAGAATCCAGTGTTTTTATAAATCACAATATAAGAGTTGGTTAAACACAGGGTGTTTGTGAAGGACAGTATTTCTCCTATTTACTTTGCAAATGGTTTTACCTCAATCCTTTTTTTTTTCCCCCAAGAGTGCTCAATCCTCAAGAAGAAAGAATTTGACAGATCCTCTTGAACAAAAGATAAGGTGCTTAGAGAAACAGAGAAAAGAGGTAACTTGTATTAGTTAAAGACATCGGGATGGGTCAGTGCTGAGAACAAGCATCATGTCTTTTATCTTTGCTAAGTGACGGTGTTCACCTCTCTGATACTGCATTGCATTATACTGAAAGAAAACAGTTTTATCAATATTTACGTAATGCCTAATGAAAAAAATGACAGGGTCATAAACTCATTTGGCATTTACAATCCTAATTTTCCCCTACTTCAGCTGCTTCCTCCATGTGCCCCATGTGAACTCGTGACCTGTGTCACACAAGAGGCACACCTTGAAACTCCAAATGTGAAGGATTTCAGTGCAGTTGATTGAGAAGGTGTGACTTTGTGAATTGGGCGTCTCAACGCTAGGGGTCTGGGAGCGCTGACATTAGAAAATTCATTCCTTAAATGTTAGTGGGGATGAATAGATATTTTTAATCATCTGAATTTTATTTCCTGAGTTCAGTGAGCATTGAACCTCTTTACCCTTCTTGACAGAGGAGGAGGTGAACGGTGTCACAAATGTAGTGCTCCCTCTGTGGCTGACCTGGCGGTTCCTCTCCTAATCCACTGTCTCTTCTATGGTACCATCTACTCCTCTTTGACACTACATAGAAAATTCCTGACCTATAGTAGATTAATGCAGCTACAGCACAGTAACGCTAATCCATAAAAAGTTAACAAAGCAGGCATCTTTAGTCAATATACATAGAACTGAACTAAATAGCATATTTATCTCCACCAAAAGAGTTACCTAGGAACTGCCATTCTGGGTTCGGTATTTTGTTTTGTCCTAGGTGACAGATTTGCTATTTCCGTTTGTCATTTGTGACTATCTTCTTATATTGATGAGTGCTGCAGATTGCAAATTTCCCTACAAGGAAACTAAAACACCACTCACAGTGTTGTCTTCTAATTAGCACAGAGGTTTAAAACCTTTAAAGAGTTTTCTAAAATTGTCTTACAGCAAAACTTATTCCTTGAAAAATCTATACTTTTGAAAATGTGATAGTATCCATTCAATGATTATGTATCACAAATCATGTGTTATTCTTTTAAAGAATACTATTGCAAACAAATGATTATCATTTAATGGTACAGACTTCAATATAAACTTTTTTAAAGCTAGAAAAATAATTCACTGTAATAATCAATGTATATACATAAAAAAATCTGAAAAGGTTTGTGAAAAGACCCTTCACACATTAGTAGATCTTATAGAAAACCACCAACATCACATTTTTTTATTAGATTCTGATTGAATTAAACAAAGAAGATGAAAGTTCATATGAGACAGTTAAAGCTGGCTGGTGTGCTGTTTAGCGGGCTGGTTGCGATACACCCAGACTTAATGGTCTCCCTGTGTGAACCAGTTAGGAACAGGTGAGAGTGAGCAGCAGGTCCTCCAGCCCACACAGAACTCGCTGGAAGGAGTTATTCTGTTCACTTTTGCCTTTCCACTCTCTGTAACCTCAAAAAGTGATTCTAGGGTTGCCCAAATTTGCAAAGGGGTAGAAATCCTTTGTTGACTCACTAGGTTTTAATAATTTCAGCTCCTACAAGTCAATCAGCAGTGGGACCAGCAGTTTAGAAGCATGAAGGAGGTGTATGAAAGAAAGGTAAGCACCCTGTCTGGCTCTCTGCATCTCCTTAACCTGGTCGGGATCAGCCATGTGGAGGCTCAGGGATTGCGGCTGTGAAGGTTTCTGTGCAAGGCAGTAGTGGAAGCCAGAGGGGAGAGGGTGCTGGGTGCACCTCTGGCCTCTTGGTACTGAAGAGGAATGAGCACTGCGGTGGAGCGCCTTGGGCAGCGCTGAAAAATGGGCTACAAACCACCTCTAGTGCTGTCCCCAGAGTGTGCTTATGTGTCCTGCTTCCCAGCGGGGTCTCTCGCAGCCATCAGTGCATCTGCAGGCTGTGGTGTCTGTTAGGGACGTCTAAAATTCATGCTGTGCTCTGCAAGACCAGCCTCTAATTCTTTCCATAAGGAGACAAAGGGCCCTCCCCTTCCCTGTAAGCCACTGTGCTGTTGAGAAGCTTTGGCTTTGGTGAGAAAGCAACTTTTTGGAGAAAATCTCCTTAAAATCAATTTGTAATTTGAAAGCCACTCAATCTCCAGAAAGAGAAAGTAAATCCCCTAAAGAATTCGGAATTAAGAAACTAGACCACAACCACATTGCTACTCTCTTCCCCCTTTTTATACCCAAATTCATAAGGTGCAAGGTAATGCTCCCACCGCATGCGGCAGCGGTAGGACACCTTGCTGAGGCCAATTTTGGAGGAAGGAGGGAAGAGCTGGAGGCTGCGGGGCCAGGCCGGTGCTTGCTTTGGGGTTGGCCGAGCTCTTTCTAAAGTGCACACATCCTGCTGCACGCGAGGGACGCGCTGAGGAGGGGCGCTCGCGTCCCTGAGCGCACAGTCGGGTGCCCGAGGCTTGGGTGCTGGAGAGGGGTCTGAAACTGCCGGTTCCTTCCGCAGGTGGCGGAGCTGAGGACCCGGCTGCTCGCGGCCGAGGGCGCCCTGGGCGAGCTGGAGTGCGAGCGGCGGAGCCAGAGCGCGGGTGGCGCCGCCCGGGGCCCGCGGCGGGAAGAGGTGGGCGCCCGCGGGGTCCGCGTCGGGTGGCCCAGGGCTCCAGCACCGCGGCGCGGGGCGGTTGCGCGTCTCCAAGGCCGTAGTAGACATCTTTGCCCTTGTCCCCGGGCTTTGCTTGTTATGGCGGAGAGGAGCGCCAAGGCCACCTGCTGCACTTGCCGAGTCGCTTCTCGGTGTCGCAAGTGGGCATTCCTCTTGTCGCCAAGCAGAGTACCGTGCGTTTCCACAGCGCTTCGCCCTCATATCTCACTGAACGTTCTCACCCGTTGTTTTGCCACACGGACCACGAGAAAGCTGTCCCCGTGTGGCCGGCACCCAGCCTGCTGCGGCAGGCTCCATTCCCAGAAGCACAAAAGAAGACAGCCAGCGAGCAGACGGAGCCCAGGCCAGAGGCTAGAGGGCTCTTCACGGCCGAGCCGACGCTGGGCCTGCAGAAATGGGCTCCCTGGGTCCTGCTGAGGGTGCCATGCCTCAGGCCAGAGGGCGGTTCCTCCTAAAGCAGACTCTGTTTCTTCCTGCTTTTTCTTACAGTTACTGGACTTAGTGGGTACTAAGAGGATGAGAGGAGAATCTTAAATTCTAAGCTTCTCCTTTCAGGTATACTAAGAAAAACCAGCACTGCAGATATTGCAGGGAAGTCACCATCACACCAGGGGCCCTGGCCTGTTTCCTGGCCTTGCCTACCTGGCTGAGACCTCTGCCACATGCCCCGGCAGTGGGCTGGCAGCTCCTCTCCCCGCTGTGGGTGGCTTCCTTGCCAATGACACCTGACCAGGAATCTTAGTAGCTTTTGCCTCTGGAGTTTCGACCATTTTCTAGTTAAAATAATTTTCTCTTGAGTGGTTCATTTTCCAAGTGTATTGGCCCATTCTATTTAAATAAAATCAAGTAGAAATACTTTCACTTTTAAAGAAAATGAATTTCCTAAAGTATATTTCTTAAATTTAAGAATTGCATTGGGAAACACCAATGACTAAAATCACACATTTTGGCACATATATTTCCTATTTTCTCATCCTGAGATACCTATATTGTGCAATATTTATTTATTCTCAGCCAATTTCCTTCACACCAGGCTTACTATTTACTGTGTAAAGTTAAGAAGTAGGTGACATTGTTTAAGTCCAGAGCCCGTTAATGCCTTCAAAGTGAATCTTCAGTTATTTCTAACAATATGCTTCCAGGTGATGGCCTAAAACGTGGTTTGTGACCACCATCGGATGCCATGATCGCTGCCTTTTAAACCAACAATGGCAGCAGGTGCTCTGAGCAAAGGGTTCTATTTGCCTGAATCCCCTTGCTCTTCCTGCTCTCTGCTGCAGCCTGGTTCAGGACTGGGCTTTGAGATACTTGATATCTTGTTTTGTTGCATGATTTCTTTCTTTCTTCTTCTTCTTTTTTTTTTTTTAGAATTGTGAATGTTTTTACTGAGTCCCTTATCCATCACCTAGTAATGGGAACTAGATGATTCTTCAGACCCATTTATCTGACCAAGAAAAGTGAAGATTGGGGATTTTGATGTCTTTTTCTGGGGTCACCAAACTTCTAAGAAGTAGCACTGAGTTTTGATAAAGAAAAATTATCTTCAGTCCTAATGCTGTCCTCAATCCAAGGGTACTGCCTGAAGGAGATGCTCAAAGGCAATATCACGGTCTCTCTGTACTTCTCCAAGAGGGAAGCCCTCTGTCTGCCAGGCAGCTGAGGTACAGGGCCTTGCACTATCCTCCCTGCTGACTTTGATTGTGTCCTGAAGTCCTTGTTCTTTCTTTTCAAAGGAAAGGGAAACCCTAAACGAAGAATTACAGGAACTGAAGAAAGAGAATAAGCTTTTGAAGGAAAAAAATGCTCTCGCGATGAAGAAGAAAGAGCACTATGAATGTGAAATACAACGCCTTAACAAGGTACCGGGCAGGTCCCCAAGGTAGAGGCCAGAGCTCCCTGGGGGGCGGGCACAGTCCTGCTACTGATACTGACAGTATCCAGTACTGGTCGTATCCAAGCCAGCTGCCACATGGCCCCCGCCTCGGTTGGGTACAGGGCACACCACCTTTACCAGCACAGCTGTGGCTCAGCCCCACCTGGTCAGGAGGCTTTGGGATTCTGTGTCTCTGCAGAGGGCATGGCAAGAGAATGGAAGCTGCAGAGGCAGTGAGAACACACACACATCTTTCTTTCCTCCCCCTCCTCCTCCTTCCTCCTTCAGTCTGCAGAGCCATATGAAGCAGGTGCATGCTTGTGAACACTCACCTTTCAGCAACCACAGGAGCTTCCTGAGGAAGTGGGCAGGTCTTTAAGACAGATGCTGTGGGGTTCAGCGTGGTGCACGCGTAGAAGTAAGCTGAATGCCAAGCCCAAGGTCAATAGCAAGGTTAAGGCCCAGCTCACCTCTCAGAGAGGAAGGGCAGAAGTCAGGGCTGCCTGGAAAATGCCAGGGATCCAGTACCCGAGCTCCATCTTAGTCTTCAAAGGAGCAGTTGTGCATTGCTCAGAGGATGAGGAGGAGTGTGAGTGTGTGTGTGTGTGTGTGTGTGTGTGTGTGTTCCATGCACCAATTCTTAATTTCCTGGGGGAAGAGAAATATATAAATTTCAGGGAAATTTTCATTTGAAGGTAAACAAAAAACTGGGCACAGGGAAATAAACACCTTAGATCTTGGAGCCACTGAGAATCCTGTTCTTTTGCTCAAGTTTATGTGTTGCACTTCATTTTTTAATCTGTATTTATAGCTAGCAGAACTTTTTTAAAAAATTAGAAAATTAGTGGTTTGATAGTTTTGGTGGTTATAATCATAGGATCTCAACAAGAAAATTTAATCTGAGTAAGACTCATGTCTTTGTACAAATGTCGCCTCCTCGGGGACCTTTCGGCTGTGCTAGGAGTTTCCCTGGTGGGCATGGGATTTGTCCTGGAGCCTGCTGCTGCCTGGCACAGCTCGCGCTGCCTCTGTGTCCCTGCGTCTGCTCTGCCTGCCGCTTGGGAGCATGAGCTCAGTGAGGGTAGAATTCCTGCAGGCTGGACATCCGTCCGTTGGCACAGCAGGCACAGTGGCAGAGCCACACACACCTAGAGGCCCACGTGTACATCTCATTTCGCCTAAAATCACAAGAAAAAGTCAACTTTCAGGTGAAAACTTGCTTCACACAATAGTACACCCATCTCTCCCACAGTGCAGTTGTGAGTACTGTCTCAGAGTGCATGTCTGTGGAGGGGGCTCGCCAAGGCAGCAGTCAGGCGGGACCCTTTGGTCTCTGCCACAACCCGAGTGCCAAGGACAGGACTTGCCCCCAGAAAGTTCATAAAGTATGTGCCGAGTGGCGAATGCGTGAATGGATGGATCAACAAATTTAATTCACTAGAACATGACGTCTTCAATAGCCAGTTTTGGACCTGAGATTTACCATTTAGTAAGCATAATTCGTCAGTGTGATGTACAATACCTTACTCATGGGTAGTGAGGAAAAGTGAAGGGTCCTTAAAGGCAGAAAAAATGTCCTTGCGCACGTCTGTGCCTGGAGCACCACTTGTACAAAGTGATGGTCTTGGGGAGATTTCTTCTCACTTAGCACAAGTGTCGGGGCAAATGAAATGTAGGACATTATGTTATTCCATTTTACAATGGGTCTTCTCTTTTTCCTACTGCGGGAAGTAGGGGAAGTAGAAGCCACTGGACATGTTGATTGGGGGGACCGGGGACCGAGGACCGTCTCAGTGGAGCCGGGGTCTCCCTGTTTCATGACTTGCCCCCACTCAGCAGACGCTGCTGACAGGTCACCTGAGCCACTCACAGGGCTGTCAGAAGTTCCGTCACTGTGGGTACTCAATTCAGGTGACTCGCTTTGAATACCCCAGGGCTTTGTCCTTACCAAGTTCCTACAGGGGGGTCAGGGATAACGAGAGGGAGTGAGAAGCCCTGCTGAAGCTGGTCATCCAGGGCCACCCGCGGGCTCATTGAGCCATCCCTTATCTCGCCATTGGGGTGGGCAGGTTTCCCGGCACCTCGGTTCTGATAGTAAGCTCCTGTCCCAGAATAGGTTGTGGGGTTTATTCGAGGAAGCCGGAAACCCAAGATGGCATATATGTCTCCTGGACTCACCTTTCATTTATGACTCATTTGAAAATTTCTAAAATCCCAAGTAGCATGAAAGGTAGGAAAACCTGGGAATTCAAACAACGAGGTCTGCCAGGCACCCAGTCGGGTAGATGGTGAGCGGTCCTTTTGGCTGCCGCTGTCACGGGGCGTCCCGCACTCCGGAGTTTGTGTGCTACCTTCCACGTCACTTAGAAGGTCTACTTATTCTGAAATCCCCCAGAACTACGTGTTTTATACAGACTCTGACGGGGCTGCGGGTGCAGCTTGGGATAGTCTGATACCCAGCACACACACACAAATCTGACAAAACGTAAATTACTGGAGAACTTGTTGTTTCCGCAGTTTCTTCCCTGAGAAGAAGAGCAGTTCTTGTTTCTCTTAGAACTTCCTGAAAAGCCACGTTCGCGTCAGGCTGGATGGCATCTGAGCTACTGAGACATCTGTTGGGGAACTCGGGTTGGACAGGGGACGCGAGGCCACAGGCTTGCCCTTCCTTTGCTGGTTTTGCGACCCTGTGGGTGGGAGCACCCTTGTGTGAAGGACAGTGACCAGTGGTGTGTCCTGAGGGCCTCCAGGCGAGGCCTGTTCTGTCACAGTCCTGGGAACTCATCTCCGTGTGAACCTTGGGCCTTCAAGCTTGGAGGGGACACCTCCCTGTGACCTGAGAGAGGCGCACCCCTGGGCTGCGGAGCTAGGGCGCGGTGTGGGTGGGACACAGCGTGGCCACCTCAGCAGTTCTCACCCCCTCCCCAGGACGCCTCAGCAGTTCTGACAGTGAACTGCCTGTGGCCAGGCTGGGCGAGGGGCTGCCTTCCCTTGGGGTTCCTTCTCTTGTTGGGGACATGAGACGGTTACACAGAAGAATGTCCCCCCAAACGTCACCTGGGATGAGCCACACCAGCTTTTGAGAAGTGCAGATTCTGGGCTCTGGGCTCCCGGTTCAGAATCTCTAGGCAGGGCTCGGGGCTGGGCCTGTCGGGCCACCTCTGGCTCCCGAGCTTCGAGTACCAGGGACAGGGTACACGGTGACTGAGGCCGAGAATTGGCAGAAAGGCTACAGACAAGTCTTCTATTCGTAGTTGGCCAGGGCGAGGGGCCCTTCACTGAGGCCCCCCAAGCAGCAAGGGGCGGACAGCCAGCAGCGGCTTTCCTGGGAGCAGGCAGGCTCTGACCACGGACCCGTGGGCAGAAATCAGAAGGGGAAGCCGCAGGGGGAGGAGGGCTGCTGGGGGCGTGGAGGGACGGCCACCTCGGGGACTCCCAGGCTGCCAGGCTCACGCAGCTGTGTGCTTGCCTCGCCACAGGCTCTTCAGGACGTCTTGAAAATCGAGGGTGCTTCGTCTCCTGGGGACCGGCGGGGGATGTGCCCTGTGGAGTGCGGCCACGCGGCCACGAGAACGGAAGTGGAAGTTCTCAAGCAGCAGGTGAGAGGTCGGAGCAGACAGTCCTGGGGCCAGGCAGGGCCTGTGGCCAGTGCACTCCTGCTGTTCACAGCGGCCACCCATTCTCACACTTGCTTTAATTAGAAGTACTGGTTTCAAAGTTTCCAGGCAGAATGGAGTTCAGCTGGGTCACAGCGGGGTTCATAAAGTGGGAACCAAGTCTCTGTGGGTTACGGGTCACCCAAGGTCACACCGTGAAGAGACGATTGAGATTCTGTGAGCCCTGGGTCCACGGAGTTCCCTGCAGGCGTGGTTGATTCTGGAAACACTGCTCACCCAAGATCTCACCTTTTCAGACAATGGGAGCCGCCAGGCTATGATCCTGCAGGTCCTGGCCTCCTGCCCTTGAACATCACGGGCAGTTTTCAAAGAATCTGTGGTTCTGGTTGTGGTCACAGAAGAGTCAGGTCTGCTACCCTACACAGGCCTGGTGCCCCCAGCCACTCCTCTCCCTCACTGCGGCCACGTGGACGGCGAGAGCAAGGGTGCCCTCGAGGGCGCTGGCGGCCGAGCATGGGGGAGGCAGCACTGGCCAAGCTGCGTGTGTCTGAGCTCAGTCCAGCAGGCTAGTGTCCGCCTCGCTGAAGGGCCAGCTGTGCCTGTCAAGTTTCTCCTCCTGTGAGAGGCTAAGTAGCAGTGAGTAAGGGGACTCGCCGAAATCCCAGCTCGTGCCCTCAAGAACCTATTAGCAGCAGGAGGCCGAGGCCTGGGGTGAAGGCCGGAAATCAGTTCTATCTTTTAGAGGCCCCTGGACATGTTCACTGACCAGTTTGCTCTGAGTATGTGCCAATTACAAGGAGTCTCAATGTGCCCACGTGGGAAGGCTGAGCCATGGGGTTACTGATATTCACTTACCGTCACTACCTGAAAGGAGTAAGTAGCTGGATGTAAAATCCAGAGCTCTTGGTGGAAAGATGGGTCTTCTCTTTCCAGATTATCTCATAGAATAATCTGCCTGTTACACTCGGGATCATGCCTATGGCTTAAAAATTGATCCATAGAAAGCGAGGGTGACATTCAGTTTGTTGAAGTCCTGTCCAGGTGGCAGCCCAGGCAGGGTTCTGGGGCAGGTACTGCCTGTGTTCAGGCCCTGGACCATCCTGGAGCTCACCGACTAAGCACACTGCAGGCCAGAGGGCACCTGGCACGTGGGCTGCAGCGGGGTCAGCCAGTGTGGGATGCAGGCCTGACAGGCGTTCTTTTCATGTGCGCTGAACAGTGGAGCGACGCCCATCCCTTCGTTGGCACTAGGGAGAGTGTGTGATGTTCTGCACATACATTTTGACCAAACCCACTTCTAAGTCAGCACCTATGACTGCAACCCCACCAAGTGCCACACGGGGCAGTCAAGGTTTCAGATCCACAGAGAATCTGAGTCAGAACTGAAGTGACGGCACTGCTAGCTAGAATGTTCAGTTCTCTTTACACGGGCTTATCCCGTTCAAAACACCCCAGTAACTGCTCTGTCTGCCTAGAACTGAGCCTCAGCTCTTGACTAAAAAATAAATAAAAATGTCGCTTGGCTGGATGTAGTTTCCTTGCAATGGGGCTGATGAATAAGGATTTAAAAATGAAATCTATGTGTATATATTTGTGTGTGCATGTATGTACACATGTGCATGTGTGTGTGCATGCTATGTATGTGTGTGTGCATGTGTGCATATATGTATGTGTACATGTGTGCAGTTTTTCTGTGCATACATGCTTGTGCCTGTGTGTATATGCTTGCATGTGTGTACATGCATATTGTATGTGTCTGCATTTTGCATGTGTGCACGTGTACATGTAAGCACATGTGTACGTTATGTGTGCATGTGTGTGGTGTGCGCACTTACGTACACATATATGTGTTTGCCTGTATATATGTACATGCATGTACACGCATATGTTATCTATGTGCATGTTTGTGTGCATGCATGACATATGTGAGTGCATGTATACATGTGTGTCTTGTGTATATATTTGCATGTGTATGCATACATGTATGTGTGTGTGCATGCTGTATGTTCATGTATATATTGTGTGCTGTGTATATTTGCATGTATACATGTGTGCATGTGTGTGCATATGTACACACCTGTATGTGCATGTGTGTGCACGTGTGTGTGTGTCTGCATTTGCATATGCATCTCCACCAGAATCTACGTGCAGTGCTGGATCTCCCCTCCTGCCTGCTGGCTTTCATCTGACTGCTTTAGATGGCTGCACCTCTGGTTGGAATCTGAAGGTGCCGTGTCCAGCTCAGAGGTTTCCATGTAGAAGTGATTTAAACCTCAGTCTTAGAAGAATTCTTTTGCTTCATTCTCTACCTTTCATTTATTTTTATAGCCTCACATGTTTGTCTCCAAGCTACCAGACAACATCACGCCAGTTTTTTAAAAAATGATTAATTCATTTGCTTGATTACTTTTCTGGAACATTTGGAATATCTCTTATGAAGTGTTGCAATAAAATCTTACATATTTCTTTTTTATCATCTACCTCTAAAACTGCTTACAAGGACGAACCTTGAGGCTGCCTCTCAACAGTCACACTTTCCACATTTGTCCGCCTTTGCTTCTGTGTTCACTGTTGGCATGTCAGTCCTTAGTGGCTTCACTGAACAGCCCTTGTCAGCAAACTGACTTTGAGAACTTCAGGCTTGAGCCCTGTGCAGGCGTTGGCTTGCTCCAGTGGTGACACTTAAAGCCAGCCAGGCTTCCAGCACAGCAGAGCACCCGGCAGAAGTGTGGGTACAGGAGTCTTAAGGAATTTACACTTTGTCCCTTCTGAATTCTTGATGCACACCCAAGAAGGAAAAATCCGAGGACTTCCACTCTAGGAGTGAAGGATGAATTGCGGCCCTGTGCCTTTCCCCACCCCACCCTGAAGAGGGGTCAGGAGCAGAGGGTGGGCGTGCCCGACTGCAGAAGCCCAGCAGGCACCTGGGAAGAGATGGCTTGAATGGCCAAAGAGCACAGAAGAATGACAGTCACAGCACCCACGTGTCTTTCAGGTACAAATATATGAAGAAGACTTCAGAAAGGAGCGATCGGATCGGGAAAGGCTCAGTCGAGAGAAAGAAGAGCTGCGGCGGGCTCATCAAGCTTCCCGGGCCCAGCTGACCAGGCTGAGTTCCCAGGTACACACCCAGCGAGGCCTGGGCCAAGCACACGCGTTTCATTTTTATTTTCTCATTTAAAAAGTATTCAAGCCTTTTGAATTCTGTCGGTTGACGTTGGGTTCTTGAGAGGCCACACCTGGGATGAAGTCACTCTTAACGACCTTGCAAGCAGATGAAAATGTCTGAAATCTCTTTTATCTTGAGTACGTTGAGGAATGACCCCAGAAACTGGATTCCAAAGTCTTTTATAAAATACAGTTCTTGTGATCTTTTCCCCATAATATTTATCTTGGGAGAATGGGAGTTGAACTACCTTCTACTCAAATATAGTGAAGTGGTTTCTAAATTCCTGTCGCTTTCTTTGAAGGGCTGTGTTGGAATGTCCCTGCCCTCTAAAAACATGCCGTGCACATGTCTGCTGAGACCCAGGGCCCTGGTCACTGGGCCCCAGAGGGAATGTGACTAGAGTCCTTTCCAGGAAGCCATTTATGGACTAGACTGTATTGACTGTAAGTGAACTAAAATTAGGTGTAACAGGAGAAAAAGTAGACTCGGACATTGCCGCGAGGGTGAGCACTGATGTTAAGGAGGGAGAGTGTAGCCAACGCGATTTTGAAATAACCACATGCTTTTGATTTGCAAAACCCTGCCGTGGTTTCAGTAAAGGGGAAATGGGGCAGGCCTGCTAGCTGCCGACTTCCAGTCTCTGAAGGACTCCAAGCCCTCAGTGGTCCTCTTCTGCCCAATGCAACGTGGACAGTGAACGGCATCTGATTTCTTCTCTCATATTTTTTCAAGGATTAACTTGAAATTCTTAATTTTATGTGGAAAATTATTTGGTAGAACCATTTCCTAAAAAATTAAAAGGAATAAAATTAAGGAATTATAAAGGAAATTAGTAGGATTAGAAGTATAATTCTTTAATTTTCTGAAAGTAATCCATGAAACCCAACAAATAATTTATACAACAATGGGTGAAGAAGTTCTGATTATACTGGGTGAAGAATTCCTCTTTCAATCTTTATTGCTTACAAACAAAGCCCCCTTGATTTCTTTGTTAGTGCACAAATTGCTTTATTCCTGGTATGTTTCAATTTTATTTATTCTATTTTATTAAGTTCAGAGTGATTCCTCTGCACCAAACCCCAAAAAGTTCAGAGTGGCAATAAATTGGTGCCTAAGATGGGCAATGTACTTTCCATTTTAGAACTTTCAGTTCAACCAGGAACATAGTCCATCTACTTAACATTTTAGAACATAGTCCAAACGCAGTTCTGGTGCCTGTGCATCTATAAAAAGCAATTTTGACCAGCATCAGCAAAATAAATATATTGTCCAAGTAGTATGATATAATTGTGTTTATAAGCTAAGGAACAATCTTGAAACTGATACATTAAAACTATCAAAATTTTCTTTTAAAATAATGATAGCCCAATCTTTTTTTTTTTTTTTAAGTCTCATTCAGCCAGGTGTGGTGGTGAGGCTGAGGCAGGAGGATTCCAAGTTTGCAGCCAGTCTCAGCAATTTAGTGAGACCCTGTCTCAAGTAAAAAATAAAAAGGGTTGGGGATGTGGCTCAGTGGTAGAGCACCCCTGGGTTGCATCCCCGGTACAAGAAATAAAAAGTCTCATTCACTGTGGTTAAACAATGATAGAACTCGATAAGACACAGGGAAGGATTTGATGACCATGTTAAGAGGATCGGGAGCAGGTTAAATGCCGCAGTGCAATGAAGGGAAACCTTGGCTGAGTAGGATGTGATCTGAGTAGGACTTTAAACAGAGACCTCAGATCAAATCCTTCAGGCACTGGCCACGTACCAGAGTGCCCCCCGGCTGCCACTGAGGGGTCTGGAGCCAGCCACCGTGGTGCAGAGGCTGTGTGGGGCAGGAGCCAGGCCCTGAATGCCGGCTGAACAATGCCAGTTTCATTCAGTGAGCCAGACGCTGCTACATCTAGGTCTGCACAGGTCAGCCGAGACTGAGAACCAGGGGGCCTCCACAAACTGGAAAACACTTTAAAACTCCCCAGCTTCCTCGCTTTCCCCTGGGGATTTCAGGACGGAGGAGACGCACGCCTGAAACCCAAGCACAGCTCTTTGCTGGCTCAGCCGCTCCCTGTGCCCTGCACTGGCCGGTCCCAGGTTCCCCTACGGCCCGAGCTCCTCCTGATAACCAACTGCCTGTGTTTTCTCTGTAGATCAAAGTTTGTCAGATGGAGAAAGAAAAACTAGAAAAACAACTAAAACAGGTATGTGGCTGCTGCCCTGCCCTGGGAGCAGTGAAATGGCAACTTTAAGTTCCACTCAGTTACTCCTGGGCACAGCTGGGCTTGCTCATGGGCGGACAGTGCGCAGGGACCACCAGCCTTTCAGCCCAGCATTCCTGAAAAAGATGCTTCTCAGAGCACATTACCTGTAGTGCCAGCCTCCGTCACCAGCAGTGCCAGCCTCCGTCACCAGGAGTGCCAGCCTCTGTCACCAGTAGTGCCAGCCTCCGTCACCAGGAGTGCCAGCCTCCGTCACCAGTAGTGCCAGCCTCCATGTGTTTCTGTTAGAACGAGGATTCCTCCCCAGACCCACCACACCTGGGAAACGCGGGCTCGAGGCCTTTCCTGCAGTTGCTCACACCTCTTGTGGTGGGAAACCTGAAATACAAAGGCTTTTGTTCTCTCTAGACAGGGAAGGTCGTCCTGGGCCTGAGTCCTTCTATGTCCACGCTCTAGTAGCCTTCCACACTGACTCTTTTCCTCTCAGTTCCTGATGCTGCCTGCAGTTGAGGGACCTTTTCCCCCGGGTCAGGGCGGGCTGGTCTTGACGGAGGTCTCTGTGAAGACCACCCAGAAGCAGCGTCCCCTGTGTGCGCTTCCCCAGGGCTCCTAATTTCTCCGAGATGGAGGAGTAATTGTAGTGTCACCTCAGGGAAGACTTAGCTAGCAAGGAGCCTCGTCCTGTGAGTCCCAAGTCCGCGTCGACCTACCCGCTGCTCTGGGTCTTAATTATGACAGATGGGGCTGCACCTTAAGACTGACCATCCCTGTTGTAGAGAGCACGTGTTAACACCCCATTCCACCCCTCCCAGTAGACCAATGGCTTTGTCTCCCCAGATACATTTCCCAGCCTGCACCTGTGGCTTGGCTTTCCACCTGCGGGACCTGGGGGTGCCAGCAGGCCCACGCACCACGCAGGACCAGTGGGAGCATCCAGTAAGTAAGAGGTCCTACTTCAACAAATCGTGACAGCGTCCTCTTCTGGTAGAGACCAGGTGTGTCTCTGGAATTGGGGCACATCGTGTCTCCTGCAGAAGGAGGCTCTACTGCACCTCAGCCTCCACTGGCCAAGTTCCAGAGGTGCATGGACACAGTAGTGATTCTTTGGGCTCTGAATCCTCAGGACACATAGATATGAAAAAGTAATCACAAGATTTCCAATTGAGCCACAATTCCTTGAGCAAACATAGCCTGTTATAGGGGCCACTTTCAACCACCTACCCAACGCCACAGGGGGCTTCTATGTATATAGAATAGCAAAGTCGATGGAGCAAAAACTGAAGAAAGAAAACAGAGGGACAGCTTCCAACTCGTGTTGAGCTACGGTGGCTGTCACCACATATGTGCAGAATGGTTTTTGACGTTTTCCTGTAGAGGGGATTTTCTTGAAAGATCCAGGAAGAGGTGACCCACTTCAGTTGTCCCCCGTGGCCGTGTGTGCCCAGCAAGATGAAGTGGACCTGGGTGGAGTTGATTGGCACGGTCCACCTGAGTGAGCCAGACTGCAGTGGCCCACCTTGTTCTTGGAGCGGTGCCCACTGCCCTGAAGGGAGGCCAGCCTCTGTTCTCCTCACAGAGCCTCCATCCAGGAAGGCTGCCACCTGCTCTGCTCTCTGTGTGCCCAGACACTCTCCCCACCCCTTGGCTTCCATCAACTCTGTTTCTAATTATGCCAAAGTCTGAGACTTTTTATTGGCATTTTCTCAGCACAGCCCTTACCAAAAGCATGTTCCCCACCTTCCTGAAAGGGTCCTGCCTGTCCTCTCCCAGGGGACAACAGGCTCCTCTTCCAAGGGGTGAGACTGTGACCCCTGGGGGGCGGGCAGACGTCAGGGCTCAGAGCACCTCTCCCTCGGTGGCCTGGCGTGGTGCAGCCTGAGGGGAACTTGGTCCTTTGCCCGTGGAGGCCGTGGCTGCTTCTGTCCACTGCCTGTGCCTGTCCTGTTCTCTTCATTACCCGGGTTCTTAGTCATCAGCGCTCGTTCCTGATCACATCCTGTCAGGGATGTAGAAGTAAACCACGACTGTGGGAATCAGAAGGAGACGGAACCTGTAAGGGTTGGGGAAATGTTCTCGTGACAGACGGACTAACTGTAGAACCAAGGGTCCTGCACGTTGACCTGGGAGCAGAGAGGGGCTTCTGTCCCATCCTCCTTAATGGAAAGAAAGCTGAGGCTCCCAGGCTCCCCCGTCGGTCAGAAGAGGCACGCAGCAGCAGGCCCAGCTCTTGTGGGGACAGGGTCCTCTGTGTGACGCCTTCCCCGTCAAGCAGTGTTCCACCGAACGGATCTCTGCACGAGGAAACCCTGTTGATTTTAAAGGAGTACCCCCTGTCCGCTCACTGTGAGCTGCGCTGAGCCACGTGCCTTGCTGTGGTGGGGTTGCAGCGTGTCTACCTTCTTGGGGCACCTTGCCTGGCGTGTAAAACGGGGAACGCGTCACTAACCCTAACCCTGTTCTTGAGACTCTCAGAGTAAGCGAGGGGATCAAAGACAGAGGTGATCTCGTTTCCTCTCCAGGTGGGGGAGCAGGTGAAGCAGGCCAGGCCCGGCGGTGGGGTCCCTTAGCTGAAGTCTCAGGCCACCTTCAGTGGACTGGCAGCCTGTGAATGGCCCCCACCGGGGACCATGAAAAAGTTCCCATTAAGTATTTTTAGCAGATGACTAAACAACTGGAGCCCAGCCTGTGGTCTCTTGTGCCACGGGGTGTCGGGGTAGGAGAGTGTTGGGAGCAGGAACACAGGCCGGCAGATGAAGCCCAGCCTTCCGTTCCCAGGGCTGGGAACGACCACGCTCCACCAGGTCCACAGATTTTTGTTCCTTCAGTTGATTGTTTGATGCGCCCCTGATAGTCGATATCTAGCCGCTCTACCTGGTGAGAACCTAGGCGAGAATTCCAAGAGAAACATCTTAGCATCTTTGGTCTAAACCCTGAGAACGTAGAGAACGACTCCTGGAGGCACCCGTGCAGAGGGAGAGGCCTGCGCACTCCACCCTCCTGGGCTCTTCGGCTCTGCCCTCCACAGCACCTGGGAGCTCTGCCTTGAGCCACTAACAACTTTAAACTTGTGTTTTTATTCCTGGCCCTCTCATTGCTCCCAGTGTGTGGATTTTAAAAAGAGCATTTGTTGATGGTGAATCACGTTGTTCTGTTTATGGGCTACGGTGAGTTTTACCAAAGTGTTCACTTCTGCAGAGATCCAAGACTCAGCTGTTCCCCAACAAAAGAGGAAAACCCCAGAGTCATGGAAATTCTAGCCAAATGCAGAGCAGAATCAGGAGGGGCAGAACCAGTGGGCAGGGGAGGGAGGGCCCGGATGCGGCACGAGGGCAACAGGTCTGGGGGGAACCACGCGGGTGGGGCCTGCTGGACGAGGCACAGCATCCTGGGTGCTGCTGAAGTCCCGTTGCTGTAACGATGTTCTGTCGCTCCTCGCAGCCGGGCCCTCCAAGGTGTGCTGTGGACCTGCTTCCGCCAGACGGGCAGCCCAAGGACAACGGTGAGCCGGCCCCGTGCGGGCACCTGCAGTTCACACCCCAGGCCTCTGGCTGTCCATGCAGCCCGCAGCCCTCCTTCTTAACGAGTGTGCTGTGCTGATAGGACACCCGCTTCTGTTTCCTTTCACTATCTGACCACTGGCGAGTTCACCTTCTCATCTCTAGTAAATGCTTCCCGTTATATTTTTATCCTAGTATCTTCCGTTATTACTTCTCTTATGACCACCTACAACAGTGGCTGTTTTCTTTACATGGAATGGGATAGAGGAAGCTCTGTGTATTTTTAAAGGGACAGTGGGTATCCATGCTGATTTCTGCAGTACCATTGGAACCTCTTCTAGCCTTCCTGGGCCTCATGCAGGGACAGACGGAGAGCCCTGATCATGAATCAAGCTTAGAAACTGTAGAGCACAGTCCTTCCTCCTACCTTGAAAGTACCCGGAGTTGCCCAGAGACGATTTAGAATGCTTGGTTTCAGCTCTGCCGGAACCTGGTGGCCCAGGACACCTGAGCTTGGCCTCCTGCCTGGGGCCGCTGCTCTGTCCCTCCTTCCCACCATGTGGGCTCTTGAGCGGGACTTGAGGACAGCCTAGCTGCACAGCCCAGCCTCCTCTCTGTGCCCCTCACCAGCTACAAGGAGCTCCCCTGGCACCCAGGGGTCCGCAGGGATGCCAGAGCTCCTTCTAGAGACAGGACACAAGCACTGTGCAGACCCTGTGGCTGGAAGAGGGCAGGGCAGGGTCCCCTGAGGGGGCAGAGTCCACTGAGGGTCCCTGGCCAGGCTGAGGGGAGGAGTGCTGAGTACCATGTAGCATGGTCCTCTGGTCACAGTTCCCAGCTGAGCTCAGTTACTGTGTGTGGGTATTTTACAACACTGTAGAGACACATCGAAAGTCAACTCTGTTTCTGCTCCTGGTGGCCCAGGTGTTCCATGGTTGTGGCAGCAGAGCTCCAACCTCTGCCCTTGTCTTCACATGGCCACTGGCCTTGGGTATCTGTCAGGTCCTCTGCAGGGTCGCGACTGTCTTCCTAACCCTTACCAGGTCTCCGTGTCTCTTCCTGAAGCCCAGTGCCTCTTCAGCACTGCCTGCATCTCCGGGGCTTTCCCAGGGAGCCAGGGCCCCACTTTCCCAGGGCCACTTCACCCACACACATACTTTCCTTTGTCCAGAGTGATCTTTCTCTGGGGCGTGACCCAACTCTAGCAGCAATAGAAATGACTCGCTTTCCTAGGGAAATGCCCAAGCCATCGCCGGAGGACATCAGAACATTCCTTCTTAGGCATGAGCTGGGCCACCCAATGTCATAACCTGGTGAACATGTGCCAGTGCCAAAGAAGGCAGCTGGCACCTGCCTGGAATCCCAGTGTGCACAGGGAGCTCAGGAATGGAACCTCTGTCCCTCTCGCTCTCTCTCTGGCCATCCTGGAAATGCATGCTGGCCCGAAGCCAGAGGGGGGACAATGTGATTCTGAGTTTAACCTGAAACGTCTGCCTGCTGTTTTTTGTAGGTCTCTCCTCAGAAAAGAAGCCCCCCCAGTAGGAGTAGTCCCCTGCAGAGCACTGGAGCAGAGGGGACCCGGCCAGGGCGCTGGTTTGTGTCTTCTCCACTCCTGCAGCCCATCAGCTCCGTCACTCAGCCGGGTCCTGCTCCCACGGGCTCAGACAGAGGAAAAGTTTCTGGCCACCGAGATCCTGATGTGCTGGAGGGGCCAGTTTCTGAACAGCCCGATCCAGTTCCTCCAAAGGACAGCTGGAGCCGGCTGAGGTGCTGCTCCTTGAAGTGTCCGTCTGCACATGGCTGGGGCTTACAAAGACGACCAGCGTGTGGATACCCGCGCTCCTGGGAGGGGCTGGTGGCTGTGCCTCCACACTGTCCGTGTTTACCCAGGACCTTAGTTCTTCAGCCATGTGGTCAGATACTGTGCTCTGCAGCGCTGGCCTGAGAGACCTGGAAATTGGGTTGAGGAGGTGCACATACTTCTTTCAGTTGGGCAAGCGTTTCAGGCTGAATAAAATGGCAATCTTAAAACTATGTTTAAACTCATTTTTTATGATTAAAAGTTGTTGGGCTACATCATTGTTAGTTGAAAGAGATCATGAAACACACAGTCCTGAAGCGGAGGCATTGACTTTGCTGTGTTCATACACAGTTAGGCAGGAAGTCAGAAATACGCATTTGGGCTGTTTTTCCTTCCCATGGATTTGAGCAGTTATTAATGAAAAATAGAACTCTAATTTTGTGAACCAATTAAAATGAAAATGGAATGTCTCTAAATTTTTTTTGCAATTAAATTATAGAGTGAAAAGACATATCTAAAGAGGAAGCAGATTTAAAACTATTAAATCTGTCCATTTAGTCAGGATTCTGCTGGGACCAGCCTGAGTTGCCCTCTGAGAGGACCAATGTGTACAGGAGTGTGAGAGCCACGGATTGCTACGCTTCTGGAAACGCCGGAATAACACGGGGCCCCTGGTGTGTTCAAGGAGCCACCAGGCTTTCCCGCTCCCCGTGTATCTCTTCAGTCTCTGTGTGTGCTTGGAGCTTTGCAAACTGAGAAGCAGAAGAATCCAGAAGATCAGCGTTTTCTGCTCTAGTCATGTCTGGAGCTGCCCTCAATTGATGTCCAGGCCTGTGCTTCCAGGGTGTTTACCAATCAATCCAGACCTTTCTTCCTACAGGTGCATCAGAAGAGCAAGAGGCAGCAGGTCTGTGTGGGAGTCTCCGAGCTTAGGGTTAAATGGTTATGTCCCCAGATTAGTGTGAAAGTCACTATAATGACAGCTTCTAGTAGTGGACCAAAGTCGGCCCCTGGGGTAGCCCCAGATTCAAACTGAACTTACCAGAAGACTGGTGGTAGGCGACCTGCCGCAAATAGCAGTCAGCCAGCCAGCCCTGGGCCATGCTGCTGGCCTCCCCTAGCCAGGTGTGCACTCATGAGCAAGGGAGGAAGCAGAGTGCAGGATACTTGGCTTCATGTGGCCGCTGACCACGGGCTGTGGATGTGAGGAGCAGACACTCTATGCAGGGCTCATCCTACAGCTGGGTCAAGAGTGTTGTCTGCACCCCTTTGTACAGAGATTTCAGGGACTCTGCCTCAGGTCACCTTCTGCACCCTCCCAGAGGATGTCCAGGGTCTCTCTGCCTTAAGTTACCTCCTGTTCCTCCCACAGTGTGTCCAGGTCTCTCTCCCTCAGGTCACCTCCTGTTCCTCCCACAGTGTGTCCAGGTCTCTATCCCTCAGGTCACCTCCTGTACCTCCCCCAGTGTGTCCAGGTCTCTCTCCCTCAGGTCACCTCCTGTTCCTCCCACAGTGTGTCCAGGTCTCTCTCCCTCAGGTCACCTCCTGTTCCCCCCACAGTGTGTCCAGGTCTCTCTCCCTCAGGTCACCTCCTGTTCCTCCCACAGTGTGTCCAGGTCTCTCTCCCTCAGGTCACCTCCTGTACCCCCCACAGTGTGTCCAGGTCTCTCTCCCTCAGGTCACCTCCTGTATCTCCCACAGTGTGTCCACGTCTCTCTCCCTCAGGTCACCTCCTGTTCCTCCCACAGTGTGTCCAGGTCGCTCTCCCTCAGGTCACCTCCTGTACCTCCCACAGTGTGTCCAGGTCTCTCTCCCTCAGGTCACCTCCTGTACCCCCCACAGTGTGTCCAGGTCTCTCTCCCTCAGGTCACCTCCTGTTCCTCCCACAGTGTGCCCAGGTCTCTCTCCCTCAGGTCACCTCCTGTACCTCCCACAGTGTGTCCAGGTCTCTCTCCCTCAGGTCACCTCCTGTACCCCCCACAGTGTGTCCAGGTCTCTCTACCTCAGGTCACCTCCTGTACCTCCAACAGTGTGTCCAGGTCTCTCTACCTCAGGTCACCTCCTGTTCCTCCCACAGTGTGTCCAGGTCTCTCTCCCTCAGGTCACCTCCTGTACCCCCCACAGTGTGTCCAGGTCTCTCTACCTCAGGTCACCTCCTGTTCCCCCCACAGTGTGTCCAGGTCTCTCTCCCTCAGGTCACCTCCTGTACCCCCCACAGTGTGTCCAGGTCTCTCTACCTCAGGTCACCTCCTGTTCCTCCCACAGTGTGTCCAGGTCTCTCTCCCTCAGGTCACCTCCTGTACCCCCCACAGTGTGTCCACGTCTCTCTCCCTCAGGTCACCTCCTGTACCTCCCACAGTGTGTCCAGGTCTCTCTGCCTCAGTGTTGAGAGCCACAGCCGAAGGAGCCCCAGCAAACTTCCAGCTGCCGGCTGATGATTGGCTCACAGCGGCCCCAGCAACATCTAGCTGATTGGCTCCTCGGCCCCAGCAACATCTAGCTGATTGGCTCCTCTGCGGTGATGCTCATTGGACTGTTTCCCTGCCCTTTCAGACCACGGAGCTGCTCATTGGGGGACTTTTTTGGCTCCGCCCACGTGACCCAGCCAATCGGCCTCAAGAGCAGGAGGATTGAGGGAGGTGGAGAGAAGCTGGTGTGGGAGAGAGAGGCTTGTGGAAAGCCGGTGGTGGCAGTTGAGGCTCTGAGGGTTTTTCCTGAGAGGCTGTTTTGTTTGGCGTGTGTGGTTCTAAAAATAAAGTTAGTTTCTTTTGACAAGTGGCTCCTGATTGTGCCCAGCCAGACTGCGGCATTTGGTGGCCCGTACGGGGGAACCCGCGACCTTGGCGTTATCAGCACCAAGGATTTCCCCTTCTTCTACTGTTTTCTCTTTGCTTTCCACTATACAAAGTCTAATCTGGGACAGAAAAGATCCATTCTTTATAGGACATATCAGGGCACATACAGGATTGCCTGGCGCCCTTAGTTTGGGCAATGATTTAGCAGATAAAACTACACATGACATACATATTTTCTCTACACTAGAAGAAGCTATAAATTTTCATAAAAAGTTCCATGTCAATGCTAATACTTTACAGAAGCGTTTTAAAATAACTAAGGAACAAGCTAGACAAATAATAAAACAATGTCAAAATTGTGTGACATTTTTACCACAAGTTAATCTTGGAGTCAATCCTAGAGGATTGATACCTAACCATATTTGGCAGATGGACGTCACACACTTGCCAGAATTTGGAAAATTAAAATATTTGCATGTTACAGTTGATAATTCTTCTGGATTTTTGATGGGCTCCCTTCATACCGGAGAAAAAACTAAAGATGTTATAGCTCATTGCTTACAAAATTTTGCCACTGTGGGTGTTCCAAAACAGTTAAAAACAGATAATGCCCCTGGTTATACTTCTACCTCTTTTAAACAATTTTGCTCAACATTTGGCATTACTCATATAACAGGAATCCCATACAATCCACAGGGACAAGGCATAGTTGAAAGAGCTCATCAAACTATAAAAATGTACTTATTAAAGCAAAAAGAAGGAATTGGGAAGGGGTATATATTCCCCAAAGATAAACTTAAAATAACCCTTTTTACTCTAAACTTTTAAAATTTGGATTCATCAGGACTTAGTGCTGCGGAAAGGCATATGTGTCCAAAAAATGTACATAAGCCCAAGGTACTTTGGAAGGATATTCTAACAGGACAATGGAAAGGTCCTGACCCAGTAATTATCTGGAGTCGGGGGTCTGTTTGTGTGTTTCCACAGGGAGAACAGCAGCCGATTTGGATTCCAGAGAGATTAACCAAGGTCCTGACCCAGTGATTGTCTGGAGTCGGGGGTCTGTTTATGTGTTTCCACAGGGAGAACAGCAGCCGATTTGGATTCCAGAAAGATTAACTAAAGCGATTTCTACAGACCAAAAAGAAGATGATTTGGCTCAAATCCATAACAACTGATATCCAAAACTCCAGTTTGGCTATTCTTACATCTGCAACAGAACCAGGATTCTTTTTTCAATATCTATTTTATTATTGCCCTTTGCCATATCATGAAGTTCTATTTTGTTTTTTGAGCTCATACAGACCTAGGTTAATGTTTTGCTGATCAGTTCTATTTTTTGACTATAGAGTTTTTAAACATTGCAATGGAGATTTCACCTGTAAAAAGTTATAAGGCCTTTACTATAATGTTATGTGTTGTATGTATTATATTATGTGTGCACACTTGTGTTTTGTGTTATATGTTTGAATGTATGTATGTCCATATATCATATAAGATGAGCGCTCATGATAAAATGGATCCAAATATTTTTTTTCACGTGATTTATATGGTTTAATTTAAATTGGGTAAACAACTGTTGAGGATTGTTTTAATATGTAAACAAAAAAGAAGGTTAACAGATCTGTTTGTTTACTTTCACCTTTCCTTTTCATTATATTTAATAATTCTCTTAAAGATAATGTAAATTGTTAAGAAAATTGTTTTCTTTTAGTGCCTTCTGTAATGTTACATAATTTTTTCTTTAGCCATTATTGCCAGAATTCCTATCTTCATCCCAGTGCTGGTGAAGTCAAAGATAAAACCAATCTACAGCTTCTACAATAGCCATCACTGAACTGCTTGCAGAACTTGCCTGGACACATTGTGAGCTCACCTGTATGCATTGTGAACTATCTGTTGGTGCAGCGACTTGTGGTAGTGTTGGGGTATTTTTGCTGATGATGTCACCGGTGGTACAATTTTTCAAAGGAGCCCTCAATTGGCTTAATGTCATGGCATTTTGCATCCTCCTCTACTAGTGATGGTCTAAAATTTGGGGGCCAACAGAGGTGAGGCAAAGAACCTCACCCCCCCACTGGTGCAAAGGCCTATCCACAAGTATGGCTGTATGCTGGACCGGTAGTCAGTGACGGGTATGATCCAATTGCAGTGGTACCAACCTAAGACAGGAGGCTGACGCCTAGAGGTCAGTTCATCCGATGACGGGTAAGGACCATATGTTGAATTGGACTGCCTAACAGACACGGTCCCTAAGCCACATGCTTGTTGTTTAAACAGAGAGGGGGAGATGTTGAGAGCCACAGCCGAAGGGGCCCCAGCAAACTTCCAGCTGCCGGTTGATGATTGGCTCACAGCGGCCCCAGCAACACCTAGCTGATTGGCTCCTCGGCCCCAGCAACATCTAGCTGATTGGCTCCTCTGCGATGATGCTCATT